ATGGAAACTCACGCACCCGTCTCATGTATGGTTGTGCTTGTTCATCAAATCATACAGCAACAGGCATATCAAATCGAAAGTCTGGAGGAACATACTAACTGCATGGAACAAAGTGAAACCATGCAGGATTCAAGTTGGAGAGCCAGTATCATGTTCCCAGGTACTCAATAAAATATTATTTGAAAACGACCTGATTAAATCTCCAGAGGGAAACCCGTTAATGGCAGATGCCAACCCGGGAGTTTTTGAGGGGTCATGGATAGAAAAAGGAATTATTCAAATCAAAGACATATGGGACGCACAAAATGGAAAATGGATTTCCCTGGAGGTGTTGAGAACCAAGGCCCCCAGACTGCACAATCTGTCCCTCAACTTCTGCAAGCTAAAGAATGTCATTCCCCCGCACTAGGTAGCAACTCTCGCTCCGGACTCAGACTGGGGTCCAGGAACAGGGCTGAGGGATCCTACAAACAACGGGACAGTCTGGAAAATTCGGGGGCCCGACCTAAGATCGGGCTCCAAAGTACGGAGGTGGACCCTTCCCAGCAGAGGTTGCATGGAAGGCCCCTTGAAACTCGGTGACAAAGGGGTGATCTTCCCGTCTCAGGAATGGGAGGAAGTGAGAGTCTGGGAAACCACGCCCAGAAGGCCGCAAGGAACGCTGCTCGCATTAGATGTATCATCCCTGAGAGTGGAACCTTTCACTCACGACTGGTTCCCCAGGGAAACCGAACCCAGCAGGGAGGGAAGACCTCCTACTATTCCACTCATCAGCTACATCCCAAAAACTGGGGTCACATGCCTAAGGTCTAAAAAGAAAAAGAACCCTCTGTGGGCTTTAAAGAAAAGGGCGGCTGCCACGCAGGTTGAGCTTCCAAAGGACGCTGATCTCTACAAGTTTTTGAAAAGCCTGAAGAAATTGCCGTCTCAGCGCAACGCAGCCCTAATGTGGTTACAATCCATGAATGTCACAACAACTTCAGTCTGGCTCAAGGCCAGAGGTCTCCCTATCCCAGAAACATGCAACAAATGTAACTGGGCATGGGAGTCGGCATCCCACTGTGACGAACTATTTCTTGTAATCGCGCGACTTTTTGTGCGAAGCTGCCTTGACGGAACGGGTCGGGCTAATTGGGTGGAATCCGTAGGGATGGGTCGGCTGGGCAAGTTGCATGGATGCCCTCACTTCTTTTTTTTTTTTGTTGGGTCGGTGTCGAGGAGATCCCCCGTCGATGATTGAGTAACCGCGCCTTAACGAGCGCGAGGAATAACGGGTGTCATAGCTTCTTTCTTGTTCTGTTGTGAGCACTGGGAAATTTTTGGCGCGATTATCGTGCAGGAATATCGTTGTTGTTGTTTTTTTCAACTGATGCAAAGCCCCCACGGGCTCTCAAAATTGTTTTTTTGTCTTTTCGGAATTTCTTTTTTTTACTTAGGACTTAGGCTAAGAATTAAGGTACTCTGAATTTTTGTTGCGCCATGCTCCTTGCTTGCGCGCATCTAGCCGCGCTAGGAACTGGACTCTGACTGGACCGCGCCCTTAATCTTGCGTATAACTGTAATTTTGGCAGGTGCAATTGCAACTGTATCTGTCTTCTTGCCCTCGTCTTCTTCCCGCCTCCTTTCTCCAAGCTATGCATATGCCTCCCTACGACCTGATTGGCCAAGGCGTTGCGTGCTCAGATCGATGCGTGGAGAGTGGCTACGTTCTCCACACCGCGGTCCGGCAATGCAGAACGTAGGCACTTCCTCCTCCCCCCCCTCCCCCCTCTTCTCTCACTTAGGCCTAATCCCGTATCTTTCTCGCAAGCATGCATGCTATAAATTTCGCAAGCGCGATTAGTTTGCTCTCTATGAATCTTGGAGTTAGCGCGATCAGTGAGGGTCGACTAACGAGTCAGCTGGAAGAGGTAAGTCGACGAGAGAGTTGGGCGATCCGACGAGCTGGTGTCGGGTATGCATGTTTGACGTGCGGGCCACGACGGACTGTGGCACACGGGCGAACCTGACTTGCATGCTCGAACCAAGCGGGGTGACAACTCTGTGTTGATGCGAGACAGAGGACTGCCCGCATCAAGGAGTCTAGAGAGAGAGAGAGAGGGAGAGCGTTTGTGTGGTGTGTGCGGGATAAGGTCCCTTTTTTTGCTCATTTGTATAATTTTGGTCTCTAATGTGGCCGATTTTCTTGCGTTCGTTTCAGACTCTTTCTTGTAACTTGTCTCGGATTTCCTTTGTCGCTTTGGCCTTGTATGTATGCATGGAATGAATGTGAACTCCTCCCTTTTTGTTAGTAGTCTTTTCGGATTTCCAATCTTGTCTTGTGATTATCTATCTGCATGAGCAACACTCTCATATCTGATTAGAAGCACTTGTTGCGGATGTTTGAGTTTAATCATTGGGCTTTGATCGTTATCAGATCACCACGAATATTGTGATGTGTTGATTATCCTCTCCTTTCGTCACGTGCATGGCATGGGTATGAATGTAATGTCTTGATCTCACCCCATATGGTACGAGTAGGATAGTTGCGTGCATAACGAACGCAGTCGGTACACCGAATCGAGGAGCGATCTGCTCTCGCTCATGTGCACGCTCACGTACGACCGTGATCGCGAGAAAACCGAGTCGCAGCGTACGCGCGCGTCTGCATGAATCAATCCCGACCCTGACTCACTACGAGGATGCGGGAGATCGAGTTCACTGATCGGACATGGCCGCAAGAACCCCCTCTCGGATCACCAATCGTAAGGGCCTAAGGGACCCGGAGTATCGCGAATACTGGGAGGGTGAACAGCTCAGACGACAGGGAAACTTGAGAAACCCGGAATTTCCCTATCTAACGGAACACGATCGACTGTGTGAACGAGATTTCCACTAGGCCATAACTAACGATCCCCGGGGCCTGGACTACCCGAATACCGACAATACTCAATATTACATATCTCCGGGCTTCGTCGTTATTGCTACCATCTTTCCTCCTTTCCATCTCTTCCTCCCATACCACCAGCTCACATTGGTGTCGTCGAACTCCATACCCCGTTACTGGTCCCACCGTCGTACGAAAAGTGACAGCGGCGCCGGGCATCGGAAATTACCCGACAAACCCAAACCGGGATCGAACGGCGCCTACCACTGATCGAACCGCGCGGTAGCTACCGCGACCCACTGGTTCACCAGATGAGGAACCAACCACCGCGGCGCAACTGGCAGAGAAGATAATCCCAGAACCGGTCTTCGCGTACCACCTTGCACTACTACCCCAAGACGTGTCACCGGAGATCTCAGTTCCAACCTGGGACTCCACCCCCACTTTCCTAAAATCCTTGGCACCGTGACACCCCCTTTTCGCACTTCCAGGCCCCCATCTCACTCCGATCAGGAAGTCGCGTTGGGCGTGAGGTTGGTATCGGAGCGATATGTGGCAAGCCACAGGTCTAACAAGAAGGTGGTTAGCGTAAAACGATCTGGCGAACAGAGGGCGGCCTAGACAGCGGAACGCGCCGCGACGCGATCCTATAGTACTTAGAAGCCGGTCGGTCGGACGGTCGGCCGCCAATATGAATGCCAATCAAGCGCAAAACGTCAATGTACAGCTAGGCAGGGCCCCTGTTCCCGCGCCACCTATCCGAGCTCGCGCACCCGCGGCTCCACTTGATTTATATATGTTCGACCATGCACACCATCTGGTCGGGGCATGGTTAGCTACGTTACGTGCACAACAGTATGACAACGACGAAGCTTAGATCAACATCCCTGCCAAACTGGGAGGGGATGCGCATCACTGGTTTAGCACCTACGCTTGGATAAATCTATTGACCTTCGAAACGGACTTCCTGAACAGGTTCGACTATATCCACCCTGAACAAGCTTTCTTTATGATCAAGGACCGAGTTCAGAAGCCTCTTGAATCTATCACGGAATATCGCAGTAGGTTCTACAGACTGTTTGTCAAATTTGAGAGGGACGAGAAGGTTGGGAGGGAAGAATAAATTTGAGCATATGGGTTTTGTCTCCGGTCCTGTCACTTACCTAGAACAGGTCGCAGCCAAGAGATTGATACTTGACACAACCTCCGGATTACCGGGTATGGCCACAACTCCGCCTCCTCCAGAAGCCCCTGCAAGGCCCAGCGAATCAAACACGATACTAGAATTAACTCGAACACTGGTTAACCTAATGCAAAAAAGTAAGAAGGAAGAACGCGAGCACAATGCTCAGATCGAATCATTGAGGAGATCCATGCGCCCCATTGCCGTCAGAGCAGCACCAATGATGCAAGGAGTAGCCCCTGCTCCAACAGTGTGCGAGGCGGCAACTAACTTGAGTGTTCGTTACATCTGTCATCAGTCCGGGCACATAGCCCAGGACTATCCCCACCGACTCACGCAAACAAGAACCGTGCCTGCGGCTGCGGCACCAATTGCTAACGGACCTGGGCGGGTGGCCACAATGGTAGAGGAAACCGACAGCGGGGCAAGCCCGTCGGGGGCCACGGAGGAAGCGGCGGAGCTCATCCCGCTCGATCAGTACATATCATTGGGATACTCGGGCCTCGGCATGATAGGGGTCATCCAACCTGCCCCCAACAACAACAAAGTTTCAGAATGGAGACCCTCCCCGAGGGAAATGGAATCCGGAGGACCCGCGTTCGTTAAGGGAGAGATCGATATGCAGGATATAGTTCGAGCCTTGGATCACCGCATCCCCCTGCCCATCGGACACCTGCTATCCATCTCCGAACAGCCTAATGACCGGATGCTACAGCATTGCAAGGCAAACCGGAAGCGATTTACCCTCGCGAAACTGGCAGCCGCAAAAGGAAAGGCTCTTGCTAGAGACCCGAAGCCGAAGGAGCCAAGCACCTCCGAACCCGTCCGGGTGGGCCTAATTCGAAAAGACGATCACTTCCTATGGATCAAAGCCCTACCATGGAGATCCATGGAGTGCGACGTGGAAGTCTGGGGAAATACCTACAGCGCGGTCCTAGGTGGTCGATCGGGCCGGCCGGCGGAAAGATGTGATTCCTCTCGCAAAGGGCGATCACTTCGTTTCCGCCGATGAAGGTAAGATCTGAGTCGTGGGGAGGATGGCGAGCGTCGCCTTCCGAATAGGTAAGGTCCACGCCTTGGGCGACGTGGTGGTCCTAAACGTGACCACATACGATGTCCTCGTCGGATTACCAGCCCTCACAGCCTTGCAGGCCACGCTGAATTTCGAACGACAAGCGGTCATCCTCAATAACACTTGAGGAAAACCGTACACCGTCCCGATGCGCCTCACCGTCCAGACAACCTCGACGTCCGAGCGACAACGACAGGAACCCGGCGAAATCCTGCGAATGCTAAGGTGGGAAGAATCCACGGACGAATCGGACGTCGAACCCACACTATCGTCGTCCACCTCCGAGAGCGAGGAAGATGCAGATCCTCAAACTCTCGAGCTAACACGACAGATAGTCCGTTACCCACTTCAACAGAAAACGACGAAAACTTTCATTTTCAGAAGGGACGTACAGCGAACCACAACACTGATCATGGGAGAACCGATGGTTTAGATATCCCGGTTGACAGATTCTTGGGAACCCCCTCAAACCATATACGACGCGACCACCCCATGGTTATCCAAATATGAGGATAAGCGGTTTTTTTGCGATATCTCAAAGATTCCTCCCGGCTCGTTGCTCATCAGAGGAAAGGAAATCCGACTTCTACAGAGAGGCGCCGAGAACTGGACTCCGGAACCCCCTGAGCTATACGACCTCGCCCCATTCGATATTGGACTAAAAATCGAGGAGAAGGTTGTGGACCTCCGGGATATCGAAGATGGTATAACCCCGGAGGAACACGTGGCAATTAGGGAAGAGGAAGCTCGGATGGTTGCCACGATCTTCTCCTGGCGTTCCGACCATTCCTTTATATCATCCCCACCGACGAAAAAGACCCACACGCCCAGGACAAAACAGCTACCGATAGCGATACGAGACTGCCACTACGAGCTTCATATGCTGGACTATGTGCCGGACGAGATACAAAAACTTAACGCAAACATTCTAGCCGAATATCAAGGGGCGATTAGTACAGAGGACACGGAAATAGGACTGTCCCTGGTCATACAACACGAGATCCAAACAGGCACCCACCCGCCAATTCACTATAAACCATACCGGTACTCGTTAGTCGAAAAACGAACAGCTCTGGAGCGGATCAGAGAATTCGAGGCCAACGGCTGGATCGAACCCGCTACTGGACTGTGGTCCTTCCCCATGGTTTTAGTCCTCAAGAAGACCGGATCCATTCGCATTTGCATCGATTATCGAAAACTGAATGATATCACGATCAAATTGTATATCCCCTTCCGCGGATTGATGATTTGTTGGATGCAATTGGATGTGCTAACTACTTTAGCAAGTTCGACATCCACCATAGCTTCCACCATATATTGGTGAAGGAAGAAGATCGTCCGAAAACGACATTCGTACTCTTCGAAGGCACGTGGCAATGGGTTTGATGTCCTATGGACATTTGCAATGCTCCTGCTACGTTTCAAAGAGCGATGAACATGACCTTCAAGAATTTCGTTAACAAGACTCGACTGATACAGGGAATGGTGAACTTTTGCGTTATCGTGTACATGAACGACATCCTGGTGTATTCGGAATCATTTCACAAGCATGCGCAGTATATCGAATGGACACTTGGAGCGCTGCGAGATGCGGGCTTCAAAATTGCCCTGGAGAAGAGCGAGGTTTTCCTGTCAGAAATCTCGTTCCTAGGGTACGTGGTGACGCGAGGGGGCTTGCGGCCGGATTCGAGAAAAGTCGCGGCAGTTCGAGACGCTCCGACACCCACGTCGCTGACGCAAGTTCAAGCTTTCTTGGGGTTGGCCTCGTACTATCGTCAATTTATTAAGGGTTTCGCGGCAATCGCACGGTCCCTGACGAACCTTTTGCGAAAGGACCAGCCGTTGAGGTGGGACGCTGAGTGCAAGCAGGCCTTTGCCACATTGAAGGGAGCCTTGACCACAACCCCTATTTTGATCCGGCCCCGAGAATCAATTTGTACTCATCACGGACTGCCAGTCGGAAGCAATATCCGCTATTTTGGCGCAAAAGGGGAAAGACGGCCGCGAGCACGTTATCGAGTACGCGTCCAGGGCAGTACCAGACGAAAGGAGAAACGATTCGGCACCTCAAGGAGAATACTACGCGGTGGTGTGGGGAATTCAACACTTCCATCCGTATCTGTACGGGTAAAAGTTCCTCCTCGTTATGGATCACGAGCCCCTGTTGGCTCTCAAGAGACTCACTAATTATATGGGTATGATTGGACGTTGGGCAGTGCGGTTGCAGGAGTATGATTTTGACATTGTCCATCGGAAGACGGAAAGGCACGGGAACGCGGACGGGTTGACACGACTGCACCGACCGGCCAAGGTTGCCAAGGGCGAAGAAATTATCCCGTGGAGAGAACCGTAACCAGTCAGTGGGCCACAGTACGGACAAGTGGGAATCCTTCCTCGTACTAAGAAGTGACACGTGACGATGGGCGATGGAGGTAATTCTGGAGGCCCCCTTTCTCCCATCTCGTCCTCATATCTCCTCTCTTTGCCTGACAAGTTTTGTTACTTCTGCGAGGCAATCTCACGTATGTACTCGGTCCCTATGCGTCCTAGCGGGGAACTTGAATCCAAGCCCCATGGTTCCTGCATTCAGTACCGAAATACGGACAAGGCCTGGTTGTGTCCCTTGTGTCGATCCGACAAAATTCCTACCGAAACCCGCTTTCTGGAAGCCACGTCGGAGGGTTCAGAAAAAACCCATAGGTTTAGAAGGGTCGAGGTATGGACAAATGTCGTTTTAATAGCCACAGTGGTCGAGAACCCCCTCCGAGACTTCACCAAGGAGGACCGTAGAAGGGCTAATGAGAGGGCACGAGACTATCGATGGAACAACGGACGGTTGGAAAAACGAAAGATCGACGGTAGTGGGATTTGGATGGTCGTGCCCCATCCGTTCATAAGGTATGACTGGGTTAAGTCGGCGCACGAAGAGACTGCAGCTCACTTTGCCGTACAGATTACAGAGGCGACAATTGACAAGAATGAACGATATTGGTCCAATATTCGCGACGATGTTAAATTCATCGTTCGAAATTGTCAAGTCTGCGCCGCTGACAAGGTGCCGATTTCGCCGCCTAGGTTGATAGTACGCACTGTAGTCGAACGACCCTTTCAAAGAGTAAGCACGGATACAACGGACATTGTCGTGGCCCCTGGACCAAATAGCTGCGAGTATTCAGTTCTGTTGGTGTTCGTCGATCATTTTTCGAAATGGATCGAGGCGTATCCCTGCAGAACGCGACAGGCGGCGGAAATCGCGCGATACGTCAACCGCTTTCTCGGGATGCAGCAAGACACGGAAGAGATCCTAACAGACAATGGGGCAGAATTCCGAGGCGAGGTCTTGAGGAACCTAGTCTTACACGGTGTCTGGAGCTACGAGGCCCGAAATGGGAATGTTGGGCCTCAGCCCCGGGATAAATTAGGGGACACCATGCCGGTGAGGAAATGTGCTTGCCAGGGTAAGCTAGCGCCACGATTCTTCGGATAACTTCGTTGTCGAGCTCGTTCCTAGCGGCGTGAACACGGTGCGGCTGGCACTCGAGATATCGGGAGGTCGATCGGCTCGTCCGATCATTCGCGTGTCCTACCTTCGTCCTCTCCCTTCTTCCCCTTCTCCTCCATCATCTGCATCGTCCCTCGGTCAGGAAGAGGACGACGACTCTCTAGAGTCCTCTTTCCTCTTCCCATCCCCGTTTTCGACTTCGCCCCCATCGCCATGAGCTTTTCGACGGAGCAGGTGATCAGTGAGCGACTGATGGTGCCTGAGGGAGTCTTCTCGACGATCCGACAAGTACAACATCCTCGGTTGAGTCCAGATCTTCTCCGATTCGCGGCCTTCTTCAATACAGCGGCCATCCACGGGCAGTCTGGGGTGGCACGAGTGTTGGCCGAGGTGTCGGCCTTTTTGCGCCTGTCCCCACCCAGCGAGAGCCACGTGTCGGTCATTGTCGTCTTTACAGGCAACATTACGACACTCCACCCAACACGACATATCGTCGTCTTTCGACAACTACGAGGCTGGGCAGCGCGCCTTACGACTGAGTGGGTGCGACTATTGGCTCGACCACGAGATCGCGTCGTAACGACGAACGACATCGATCTTCAGCTTCGAGTCTCCTCCACCATGCCAGAGGTCGCCCTTCCAGCGCTTCGTCCCTTCGCTCGGCCTCAATGAACCGTCACCGTTTCTCTACCTTCAGTCTCCCCTCTGACGTTACTATGTTTTGGCAATCTGTCATGGAAGGGTCTCTGTCTTTCACTATCAGGCAATTGGACGTGCCGATTCTAGACGCGGTTAAGTGGACGCAGTGGTGGCAAGCATACGTGGCACTCAGTTTTTGCCTCCTCGACGCCGTCTTCCACTGGGCGAAGCCCACTGACAGCCGCGAGGAGGACGAGATCCCCGGTGATGAGATAGAGTTGCTGCTCGTCCAGGCCTGGAGAACGGACACGGAGGGCAATTTTCTGGGGATCCTCTTCGGGGAGGTGAGCGACGGGCACCTGGCGTCCATCACGGACGAGCTGCTGGTGTTTTTGAGCCAAGTACTCGACGATCTGCCATTGGAGATTCTCTCGCGTTGTGACGAGAAGCCAGGGACGGCCACGCTCGTTCGTGCGCTGGAGCCACATCTTCTGTGGTCCACATGTACGGAGTTGGAGGAGGGAAGTTACTATGTGCCTTCGGCGGGTGCGTATCTACACGTCGAAGTATCTACACGTCGAAGTCACCGATCTTCCCATGTGGGACTCGCTCATCCGGCACACTCTTGCAGGAGAAACGAGTGGAGAAGAAGCGGAGGACGACGAAGAAGAAGCATCGGCAAAGAAAGAAGATCGGGAATCGGATCCCGATTATCGAGGAACGGAGGATGAAGAGTTGGAAGAGGCCGGTTCGGAGGAGTAGGCAAGCGAAGAAGAAAACGCCGAGGGATTCAAGTGAACCGGTCGGGCTAACCAGGGAGGAACAAGAAGTCGTGGCCCAGAGATGGCGAGAGGTCGTGGAAGGCAAGCGACCGATCGTGGAATCAAGGTCGCCGCCGCAACTGCTGCAGGGCAACCCGATACTCAACCCGGAGCCGCCGCGGGAAGAAGACAAGAAGGATGGAGCCGCCGCCGCAGAGGGATTAAGAAGCCAACACCGCCGACGAAGCGAATCGCCCTCCCAATCCTCCCCAGTTTCCCGCACAGACCTTCATCTACGTCGAGATGCAGGGGCTCGGGCTTTGTCCCCGGTCGTTATCCCGTCGTCCCCGTGACTTCCTCACCCTCCAGCAGCTCCTAGGCCGACCTTCATTTCCTGATACGTGACATTCATTTCCCCTCTCCCTCTTTTATCATCGCTACGCCACCCGCCTTCTGACCACCATATTCCCACATGCTACTACTCGCTCACTCGTCACTTCCTTCCCCCTCCACGTCCTCCTCCTTAGCGTGGATTGGCAGGAGTATAATAATATAGAGGTCTACTGCGTCATCGCGGGCACGATCCCCGTGTGCAAGGAATATGACAATTTTTGCGCGGCCATCTACCACACCCTCTGCACCCTCTACCCTGACTACCTTGCCTCTCTGCCCCATCAACGCCGGCACCCTCGCTTCCCCCGCATCCATCGCTTTGTCTATTACATCCCACTCCCCTCTAGCGATAGGGAAATTTACAGCTTCATGCCTCCTCTTCCCCCGGTCTATCCACCCCCCCCCCCAATCCGTAATTAGATTACCTTTCCCGGGCAACGTTTTGGATTAAGCGCACACATGCCACGTTGGATGACTTCCACACTCACATCCTACAGTATGTGGCACGTGTAAGCTCCGCGTCGATCATCGGACCACCGATCGGTGCCTCTGAGAGAGCAAGTAGGAGCTTGCTCAAGATTGGAACCCCCTGGGTATCACATATGTGACGAACCATTTCCTGTAATCGCGCGACTTTCTGCGCAAAGCTGCCTTGAGGGAACGGGTCGGGCTAATCGGGTGGAGTGCGTAGGGATGGGTTGGCTGGGCAAGTTGCATGGATGCCCTCGCTTCTTTTTTGTTTTTGTCGGGTCGGTGTCGGGAAGATCCCGCGTCGACGATTGAGTAACCGCGCCTTAACGAGCGCGAGGAATAACGGGTGCCATAGCTTCTTTCTTGTTCTGCTGTGAGCACTGGGAATTTTTTGGCGCGATTTTCGCGCGGGAATATCGTTTTTTTTTAATTTTCAACTGATGCAAAGGCCCCACGGACTCTCGGAATTGTTCTTTTGTCTTTTCGAAATTTTCTTTTTGTAATTAGGACTTAGGGTAGAAATTTAGGTACTCTGAATTTTTGTTGCGCCGCGCTCCTTGCTTGCGCGCATCTGGCCGCGCTAGGTACCGGGCTCTGACTGGACCGCACCCTTAATCTTGCGTATAACTGTATTTTGGCGGGCGCAATTGTAACTGTATCTCTCTTCTTGCACTCATCTTCTTCCCGCCTCCTTTCTTCAGGTTATGCATACGCCTCCCTACGACCTGATTGGCCAAGGCGTTGCGTGCTCAGATCTATGCGTGGAGAGTGGAGACGTCCCCCACGTCGCGGTCTGGCCATGCAAAACGTAGGCACTTCCTCCTTTCCCC